TCTATAGGTGTAACTATATTTTCCGCTGGGTGAAAGGTAAAAGGCTCAAATTTATTATTTAAGTCGTCAAATTTAGTTTTAAGACAAGTTAAAGTAGTCAAAAGTTCAGGGTTAAGGTCAATGTCTATACGTTCAAATCTGTAATAAATATGGTTAAGGTAAGTTTCAATAAGGCGAGCAAATTTAGAATCGCCCTGTAATAATCTATTAATTTTCCCTTCAAGGTAATTGATGGTAGTATCAAGTTGAGCAAGATCCTCATCAACTGGAAAAGGAGAAGTTAGAATATCCTCTGGCGAAGTTATCAAAGAGAGTCTTTGAATTTGTTTTCTCAACTCTAAGACTGTATTTGCTGGATTCTCTAATCTAATTGTTACCTCATAGATCAGTTCAGCTTTGTTGAGGTGTTCAAATTTAATTAATCTAGGCATTGTTAAGAATAAAGATAAGTTAATAAAGTTCAAATTAAATACCTTGTTTCCTTCTAAAAAAAATAAAATTAGGGTGAGTAAAAATGAAGTTCAGTGAGAGCTAAGAGTTAGAAAGAAGAGGAAAAAAAAATAGAAAAGTTAAGTAGTAAAAAATAATTAAAAATTATAAGTAAATTAAGGAATAAGATGACTAATATTTACAATTAAATAGAGTATAAAGGTATTTAGATAAATAAAGCAAGTTAAGAATATTTACAATATATATAAATATATATATATATATATTTTATGATAAAGGGGATTTTTTTTTATTTTCAAATAAGATGCCAAAGGGGATGAATGGGATAGGGACACTAGAAGAAGTGTTGTTTTAGAATTTAGAGGAGAGGCTGGAGGGACAAATGAAGATAAAGGTAAGGAAGAGGGAAAAACTAAAGAGAAGACCTGAAGACTAAACTAAAGAGTTGGGCGCCAATTTTGTTGTGTAGCAACAAAATAAAACTAGATAGGAAGGAAGGAAAAATCAAAAGAACAGTATAGGAATATATATTTACAAGATAAAGTAGTATTTACAGATTATTAAAAAAAATATGGAATATGTGTGTAGTGTGGGTTGTGAAGTGGGCGTGGGTCGTCGGCGATCTTCAGGGGCGGCTTAAACGGTAGGGCGTGGGTCGTCGGCGATCTTCAGGGGCGGCTTGAACGGTAGGTCGTGCTACAGGTAGATGGACGGCGCTCTTTGGAGGCAGAAGCGCTCCTGTGCAGCCGTCTTAGTTCTTGGCCTCCCCTGGTGGTTGCTGGCGGCGCTGCTGGTAGTTTGGCCGGCGTATATCGGCCAGAGGCGGGCGTTGAAGAAACGGCAGGAGTCGGTAGAAGGCGGGCTGAAGCAGCTGGAGGCTGGCCGAAGAAGCTGGAGTCCAGGCGCAGTCCCACCGATGAGGTTGCGAGAACGTGTATAGTAGTATAGTATTGGAGTTAGGAAGTTGTTTAAAGAGCCAATAGGTGCTAAAAAGCTTTGAGGTCTTTCTTGAGTCCCGGGGCAGTCGGCCCCGGGACAAGGCCTTTTATTAATTTAGAGCTCGGTAGCGAGCTTTCAAAAGTTGAGTAGGCAACTTTTGCCGTAGAATTGAATAAATGATCAGGGAGGCTCGGCCTTTTATAGGTCCGGAACCATTTGAATTTAGACACGGTTCGAATCGAGCCAAAAAGAATCAAAGTAAGTGGTCTGTGGAGGTTGAATAGTCATAGACGTAGTTGGAGAGAGTATCCGTGTCATGGGTAGCCATGGCAACGGATAAAAAACATTTGGTTGTCATAAAATGTCAATAAAAATAAATAAATTAAAAATAGATAAAATCAAAGCATAATTAGTGAAAACAAGTAAATAACAGAATAAAGAGAAATGCCGGTAAGTGTCCAGCACTCTGGAATAGTGATTTTCAGTACAGAAGAAATTATTATACGTATTTACAAAATGATGAATAGTGTGTGATATTTTTGAAATTATGTGTTTCCAGGAATAAATGATAAAATATATGATGATGCCTGATGAATATCGATGATGTTATATGATAAAATGTGCGAAATGGAACCTATGATAATCGAAACCATGAGTCGAAACCATATTAAGGTACGTTACAGAAGTAGTAATTAATGGTATATTAACGAAATATTCATTAAAAGTATTGGCAATCTGTTCTTTTGTTTTAAATTGAATATTATCTACTTTAAGTGCGATCCCATCATCGAGGGTTCTTTCTTTACCAGTCTCTCTATTAATAACATTCCATGTCGTTTTAATTTTATTATTAGATTTTATGATTTTATTTTTTATGTAATTGGATTTGGCTGTTGCACATACACTTTTGAATGTTTTTGAGTACCTTTTAACATAATCAATGAAACCCTGAGAGTGATTGTACTTCCTTAAGTAGTACAAATCATAAGGTTTATTTCTGCTCTTATAAATACCAGACGTAGCCCAGTCACAGAAGTTCAACTTTTGAGTTAATTTCAAAGTTTTAAGCGGAAAAGCCTTATCGAATTCGTTCTTAACCAAAGTGAACATATTGCCGTAAAGAATATTAGGATCCTCATGTGTCCATGGCATTTGAAACATTTTATAATCAATATTGTTTTGAAAATTTAAGTAAATTAGCCTCCTGGTATAACTGGCGTGTCGGATATTTCCTGGGTTTACCTAGCATGACTTTGAGAACAGCCCTCTGTGCTCTTTCAATCTTCAAAAAATGAGTTTTAGCAGCACTACCCAAACCGGAATACAATAGGTTAATAGGGATTGACAAAGAGAAAAATAGATTTTTATAATAAGCGTTGGGTCAGCTGCTTCACGAAGGTTTTTAAAAATGTGAAGCAATTTACGTACTCTTTTGCTTAGGGATGAGATATGAGGTGCCCGATTGAAATTTTTATCAATTATGATACCCAGATATTTGTGGGTACTAGTTTCATTTAGATAGGAACAATCACAAGGGGGGTCAATAGTATCAGAGGAACACGTTCTAGAGTGGGATTTTACGTTAAAATTAATGGGAGGTTTAGTAGCACTAGAAATTCTAAAGCAGATGAATTTTGTTTTAGGCACATTGATGGTTAGAAGGTTGTCGTCTAACCACCCTATTACCTTTTGAAGACCACGTTCAGCAAATTTCCGGACCAGAGACCAAGTTTTACCGTTATAGATTAGGGCGGTATCGTCCGCAAAAGCCAGCGTGTTACCATTGTCCATTCTGATATTGCAAAGATTGTTGACGTAGGCCAGAAACAGGGTAGGTCCAAGCGTACTACCTTGCGGAATACCATAGTTGTTAGGGGAGCTAGAACTGACCACTGTGGAGACTGATTACTTGTCACGAAACGAAACGAGTCACGAAACCAATCGAGTGCAGTCCCTCTTATACCAAGCTGTTCTAGTTTAAGTAAGAGTAGTGGCATAGAAACAGTGTCGAAAGCTTTTTTAAGGTCCAGAAATATAAGTAGGCATCTTTCATCGCTATCCAGAGCCTTGGTAACTACTTCTAAGAGTTTAGCAACTGCATCTTCAGTATTTCTTCCCGTGCGAAATCCATATTGGTTATCAGATAGCAATTGCTTATTCTCTAAGAAGTTCTTAGACGAATATTTACCACTTTTTCTATTACTTTACTGATTGTGCTGAGTAAAGAAATAGGCCTATAGTTCGACACAGTCTCCACACCACCACCCTTATAGACAAGGACAACCACAGGCTGTTTGAAAATTGCTGGAAAAATTCCAGTGGAGATATTAAGGTTCACAGGTGGGCTATCATTGAGCATAATATTTTGTGGGATTTTTTAAATGATAACGGTAGGGATGGAATCTATTCCTCGGGCACTATTAGATTTGAGGCTAAGAATTATTTTATCAATTTCAATATAATCTGTCGGATATATTACATATAGAATGAGAGCACATTCCGCGATCAAGGCGTATTCTCTAACAAATAAGGCTCGTCCGTGTTATGTTTATTTAATATGTTTGCTGCAAGTATGGATGTAAAATAATTATATTAACTACTTCAAGAGAACTCTTTGGCGACGGTAGCAGAGTTAGTTATGCAGCTGCTGGAGTCTGCTAAGTTCTAATGTTACATAATTCTTTTACGGTTCCCCAAGTACGTTTATTATTTTTATAATTTCTATTTTTATAATATATTACTGTCTTGTTGCAAATATCACGATATTTTATATAAAATATTTTTATTTCCATATCACCTGGATTCTTTTTAACCAACGAGTGGGTATGATCTCTTTTCTAAAAACATTTTATAATATCTTCAATTATCCACGGTTTTAATGGCGTTTGCTTTTTATGAAAGTAACTTTTTCCGAGTTTATAGCTATTAGTTTTTGTAGTGATTCGATTAGTGCCTGAGCGGCTAAGTCTGGATTGTTAATTGTTACAAAAAGATTCCAGTCTATTGTTTCTATTGCCGATTTCAAAACTTGAAAGTTAATTCTTGATCTAATCACTTGGTTTAAATAAAACTTTAAACAAAGTTTACAGTCACCGCCGTCCCCCAGCTGCCTTGCTATCTGCCTCGATAGTAAGTTTTAACGCAATTTTTCGCCAAGAGCCGAATAAAACTATAATTATAGTAAAGTTATAGAGTAGAGTAACATAAAAATAAATTTGTTTTAATACAATAGAAGAAATAAAGTAAGATAAACTTCTTCACATAAAAAAAAATATGTAGGTACATAACCAGTTATGTATAAACTATTATATTATATATTACTAGCTTATTCAGCGAACTTCGTACCGCCATAAAAAATAGGGGTTGGTGGTAGAAGGGTGAAAATTTAGGGTTGTATGTATTTTTTATGATGTATCAGATGTAAAATATTTGTCCAAAAAAAAAATAAAGACCACCCTTAACATTTAGGGGAATGAAAATAGATGTTGTCCGATTTTCAGACCTACTGAATATGCATATAAAATTTAACGAAAATCGGTCGAGCTGTTTGGGAGTAGTTAAATTACGCACACCGTGAAAAGGGAATTTTATATATTAGATTATAACTATACCTGTGACATGCCAGTATCCATACTTCGAATAAGACACACAGAACTCGTTCGCAAAGTTGTTCCGCAGCGGAGTGGTGAGGCGCAGGAGGCGAAAGTAGTGCGGCCGCCGCCGCCAGCAGCAGTAAGAGGAGGGCTCGCCATTCGCTAGCGCCGAGCTCAGCATTGCCAGCTAAATCACGTGCTAGACGAAGGACCCGATGACAGAGTACAGCTTGCTTGCTTATTAAGTCCCCACCTAATGTAGTACATTTTGCATTAACAAAAAGGGCCTAGAGCGAAAATATTTACCGGTATCACCCGACGTTTACCCGCTTAAGGCAGCGGACTCCTTTAATTAAAGGAGTTATTTTAAGTTTTTTTTTTAATAACTAATTTGAGATGATGCCTCCAGTAGGAAGAGTTGAGAATGTTTATTGGACAACGGTTTCGTATGTCAAACTTTAACAGACAACCAAATGTCGACTAGTATTACACACTCTATGTATGTATAGTTCACACTTAATACAAACCAACAGATTTTTTAATATGAAATATAAGTATGGATTGTCGATATACTCCAATAGATTTCCAACCTTAGTAGTTGGATTCATAGTGCAATATTAATTGCAGAATTTGGACTTAATGTGACAGCCATAAAATACATTTATTGACTCACCCACTTCCACTTGATACACAAATGATAGCACTTAAAAAGAAAACATTTATTTGTAAAAATAGATTCAAACGTTGGTATTTGAAAAGCTAAGAGTGCCAAGTTTTACTTTTGAAAATGCATTATACAAGGCAGCAAATTGATTAATAAATATTAATTATTTGTGTGTATTTACAATTAGGCAATATACTGTATATTGAAAATACATAATGTATTGAAATATAGTATATTGAAAAAGAAAATTAATTGCGTATCAAATTATGTCTGCACTTCACTTTACGTATTTGTAATGTAAAACGAACAGTATTTGTTATTTGTAAACAGTATCGCCTTTTCATTCTCTATAGAGTGTGATAAGGACAACCTGCTGTCAAAACGACAAATAGCAAACACGAATAAAAAAGTGAAGTGCCGGCATAAAACAAAATGCTTTGACAAAACACATTTTGCTTACACTCATGTCAATAGTGTTCAACTCACTTTCGTCGGAGCGCGGCACAAAAAGGTTCTGCAAGTGATGTAGGATAGTTCTCGCGTATGCGTGCGGTCGTGCACGCACTGGCGCAGGCAGCGCGGGAGGAGGTGGTTGAGCTGCCGGCGCCGGTGGAAGCAAAGCACCCAACCACGAGCAACAGACGCGCACGCAAGCACGCACTGCTTCGTGCTCCGTCAGCGGCAACGACAGGCCGAACCGAACCACTTCCAGTACCCATTCCACCTACGAGAAAATCCCTTTTCCTTATTACACAAAGGGAAGAATATATTGCTAAATACGTTGCCATATTCATTGATGATAATTTGATATATTCACAAGATTTGGTGCCATAGCTTTGGAATACTAAATCTATATTTGATACAAAGGGCACCCAACTAAGAGCAACAGACTCGCATGTAAGCACGCCCTGCCTCATGCTCCGTAAGAGGCAACGACAGGCTGACTCAAACCACTTTCAACACTCATTCCACCTGAGAGAATGTTCCTATTTCTTATTATCAAACAAAGGGAATAAAATTTTGACAAATATCTTGTATTGATTGATGACATAATTTTATACACTCACAATGTCTTGATGCCATAGATTTGGTTTGGAGTACTTAATATGGTGCTATGATTGGTGCAATGGTAGTGATCCTATCTTCTGCTCCTAATCCTGCGACACGAACAAGAGCATCGCGCTATATGGTATATTTATATCATGTTGTTATTACGCACAATTGTCAAATTAGTATTATTGACTTTGAAAGTCATAATAAAACTTGGTATATTAATGTGAATTCACACCGGAATTGGTGTGCGGGTGCGGCATCGCGCACGGCAGCGTGACTGTGCTGGTGGCCACAGAGACTATGCGAGCGATACTGGTTCTATAGGTGTGAAGATAGAGTTTCAAATTATTTCACATCGCTATAAGTAAGAAAATTTACCCTTATAATATCTCACACTGCTCATGCTGCGGCGGCTGGGCCTAATTTCAGTACATATAGCTAAGGCCCAGCAAATTATCCCACCCCACCTGATGATATTTTTTTTTTTTCATTTTAACACACACCAATTAGCCTAGCCCCAAAGTAAGCACTATAAGGCTTGAGTGGGATGCTAGGGTAACGGATAGAATACATAAACTGTACATATATAAGTATATTTATATAGAAATAGATATTAAACATCCATGACTGGAGTACAAATGCTCATATTTATCACACAAACATCTGCCCCCACCGGGATTCGAACCCAGGACCTCTCAAGTCGGCGACACCATGAAACCTGGTGTACAAACCACTCGGCCACGGAGGTCGTTAAATTGCAAATGAAGTTCAGTTACAAAGATACTGTAGTAACAGAGGACATGTAATCTGTGTATATTATTTAGCTTAAATAATGCAAGCCTCAAGAATTGTTGAGTTGTCTGAAATTCATTATGATTAACAAATTTAATACCTAAAGTTAAGTTACAGTGCAGTCCAGTTTTGATGCCAACTGCTGATAATTAATAACATGGCTAAATGACAAATGCTTACCTCAGCATCAGTGGTGAGTGGACTAGGCTCATGTGAGGCAAGCTGCCTCACAACAGCTAGTACTACATCCCGACCACCAACTGCACCAAGAACACCCCTCCCTCCACCCTCCAGTGGTAAGGAGCTCCATTCCGAATACATACTGTCTGAAGGACTGCTCTGAAAAGTGATTTAGCTACATGGTTCATAAATACATCAAGTTTCCTTTTCATCCTTATAAAATAAAATTGCAAAGGCATAAAAAACCAAGAACCCTAGTGTCAACAAAATAACAAAAATAAAAACTGACTTCATAGAAACAAAAATACTAAATATACTTGTTATATCTTACTTAAATCTAAAGTAATGGAATCAGTGCCATAACAAAAACACATGGACCTGAGTTGCTGTTCACTACTTGGCTTTGGCTGGCAGACTGATCAGATGCTTCAGATGAGTCAGAAGTGGTCACATAAGAGATATTTTTCATTGAAGAACAATTAAAAACATCACTCAGTCAACCTTTTTTCATTTTAATTATAAAATAACCTTTTTCCATTTAAATTTACTTTTTATTAACACAGACCAGTGTTGCCAAATTTCTTTTTGTCTAGTCAGGATTTAGAACTTTTTGAGTGAAGAAAGCGGGATACCTTTGACAAAAGCGGGACATAGTAAAAAAAAGGTATATAATAAAAAGATTTTGAATATTTATCTTTTTATTTCAGTTTAAATTACGTTTACATGACACAAGATAGGCACCTAGTAAAAATATCCATAAAAAATATATGATATTTTAAATCAGATTTGAGAGTTCTTCATTACGTGCGAGTTTCATACGAGTTCTTCATTACGTGCGAGTTTCATACTAAGTTTCAAACTAAATTCATTGGGAATAATATAATTTAAAGTGTAATACTATTTGTATGTTAGTAAATAATAAAATGGCGCGATTACACTTGGTTGTTAGCCAAATATGAGTGCCAATGGAATTCAGGTAAATGACTGAATGTAATAATATAACGGAGTTGAGTAAGCCCCGATTTGGATAGATTTTCTTTTGGCTCAGCTTTCCATTATATGTAATTGAGTTGCAAGCTGAAATTTTTGTCACGCAAAGTGTTAACTATTAAAAACACGTACACGAAATCTTTTTAGGCGGAAACGAATAGAACTCGAAAAAAAAATTATTGAAAATTAATATTTTTGTAGGTTAAGAGTCAATTTTGACAGCAATTTTGATCAGTGCTGCCATTTTTTTATGCAAAAATAACATGTTTCTCGTTGTCTATGGTAAATATAAGTTTATTATGTTGGTACTATTGTCAAAATGTGACAATTTACCGCCATTAATGAGATCTGTCAGTCAGTGTTTGTGTTCGTCGCAGTTGAGAGCTTTTTCGTACTCCTGTTGATATTAACGTCGTCTGACTACCATGGCATCCTCAAAGCGTTCGACCTCGAGTTCTGCTGGCCCTTCGCCTGAAGAGTCGAGTGTAGTGCGAGTTTTGGACTCTAATGAGCCGCTTGTGTGGTGATACTTCACACTAGGTTAGGTTAGGTTAGTGTTGTGACCTTAACGCGCGAGCCGAGCGAGCGAAGCGAGCGTGCCGCGGCAGCGGCCGGCGAAGCGCCAGAAAGAAAAATTCGTTAATAGAGACTTTTTCTACAAAAAAATCAAATATCATCTCTAGGCCCTGGAAGTACAGTTTTACCTTCAAAACCCCTCAAATTTTTTATAATTACCATTTCTGTAAAAAAACGCCGGGAGGGGGGAGGGGGATTTACCCTTCCCTCTGAGGGGTCTTCCCTAATACCTATCCCCCTGAAATTCCACTACATTTAACAGATTTAATGAATTTTTAGGTTAGGTACTGCATTTCCGCCAAAAATCTTTTATGGCGGGGGGGTCGGGGGGAGCCCCCCCTCCACCCCCCCTACAAATTACCCCGAAATTCAATTACATATAATGGAATTAAGTACCTTTCTTTTGTTTACCTAACACCGTATTCCAGTGTAAATATTGCTCCGGCTGCCCAAATTCAAGTAATGTCTTTCATGCACCCCAATACAGATTATCAACCAAATGTAATTGCAACAATATTCAATGCACAGAGACAAAACAGTGTTACACTAGTCAAGTTCGTTTATTAATAATGCGGATAGACAACAATTTTATAAAAGAAGTTAGTAGGTTGATCCCTGCTGATCATTATGTGGTCATTTGCTGAATATTGGGAGGAGTTTGGTGTTTGCTAACGCTAAAATTGAATGCCCTGCTTGTTGACAAGTACTTTAAAGTAAATGTATTTAAATTAACAATTTACTAAGTTATCTTACCTTATGATTGACTCTGTTAAAGATTCCCACATACATAAATTCGTAATACTCTTTCGCGTTCTCCAAAAAAAATTTAGTTCCTGTTCACCTACTCCAGCTTAAAATATTAGATGAATTTAATTTGATTAATTATATTATTTCCCTTATTTAATTAATCTTACAACATTTCATTCTATAAAAGAAATCCATCAAAGAGAACAATTCGAGATTTTCCGAGTTCAAAACCAAAATAAAGTTTGACATTGACATGACAACTCAACTTGAGCACAGACTAATAGGAGAACGGTCGCAGTAGAAAATCTGCTCATAACTGCAACTGCATCATCCCCCTCTCAGGGGATGATCGCTTCAGATGAAGCATGTAAGGCCCTTCTCCGGCCATAAGCATGAACTATACGGGTGTGATATAGTCAGTAGGAGTCTGACATAACCTTGCAGCCCGCTGAAGGGTATCCATGAGGATATCACACACGCTCCCACGCCTGGGAAGAATAAAAAAAAGCGAGAGTGCTTATGACCAGACGACTGAAGTAAAACTTCTTTAGCTCCAATGATCTGAAAAGAAGATTTATTGATATAAAAAGAAACACCAATCCGCGCTGGGTTCGTTATCACCCTCCAATCCGCACTGGGTCCATTATCACCCACCCATCCGCGTTGGGTACGTTATCACCCACCAATCCGCACTGGGGCAGTTATTATCCACCAATCCGCACTGGGTCCGTTATCACCCACCAATTCGCGCTTGGTCCGTTATCGCCCACCAATCAGCACTGGGTCCACTGTCACCCACCAATTCGCGCTGGGTCCGTTATCACCCACCAATCCACACTGGGTCCCTTATCACTCACCAATCCGCGCTGGGTCCGTTATCACCCTGGAATCCGAACTGGGTCCGTTATCACCCACCAATCCGCGCTGGGTCCGATATCACCCACCAATCCGCACTGGGTCATGTATTTTGGGACGGGTATTTTGTTTATATTGTCGATTGGTCGGTCGGAAGAAAGACTTATCTATATTAATAAGAGCAGTACAATTGTAACATAGATCGGCAATTGTACTGGCGAACGCTCGAGGGCGTTGCGCGGGATGTTAGACTAGTGCACTTGACTGAACATACAAGGAGGCCAAGAGAGTGTGTGCGAGGGCTGCTCGACACACCTTGGCTCCACGATGAACAAGGGAGGCCAAAGACAGTGTGTGCGAGGGCTGCTCGACACACCTTGGCTCCACGATGAACAAGGGAGGTCAAAGAGAGTGTGTGCGAGGGCTGCTCGACTAACCTTGGCTCCACGATGAACAAGGGAGGCCAAAGAGAGTGTGTGCGAGGGCTGCTCGAAACACCTTGGCTCCACGATGAACAAGGGAGGCCAAAGAGAGTGTGTGCGAGGGCTGCTCGACACACCTTGGCTCCACGATGAACAAGGGAGGCCAAGAGAGTGTGTGCGAGGGCTGCTCGACACACCTTGGCTCCACGATGAACAAGGGAGGCCAAAATGAGTGTGTACGAGGGTTGCTTGGCACACCTTGGCTTCATAATCAAAGGCTTATGATAATCAAACAGGATAGGTATGCTGAAAGTGTCCTATGCCAATCATGAAATGTTATGTAAAATGAGTAGAAAATCGATGTGAATATTGATGTGTGTGTACATATAATGTATAGGTATTGATCTTGGAGAGGAAGATGCTTAGTGTCTCAACTCTGAGATTCATAGTATAATTTCTTTATACAGGTTCCTTGATGATCTTGACACATTTCAATGTACGTTTTTACTATTTTTTTTTGCAATCATGAAATAAATAAAAATAAAACTATTTTTTTTTTATTTTTTTTTGTTTTTCAATCATGAAAAAAAATAAAAAATAGTAAAACGTACATTGAAATGTGCACTGTAAATGTGTACTTGAACTGCCCAAAACCGCTCTATTGGATTTTTCATAACTGCGCAATTTATAACTTGAAAACGGTAAGTAATACAAAAAAATTGTTTATACAAAAGTTGTTGGTAATTATGTACGAAAGAACTTTGCCATTTAAAGTTTTCCATTAAAATGATATTTTCAGGGTGAAAAGTGAAAAAACACTTTTTTTGAGACTAGCGCCACCTACAATGCGCATTTTTTGTTGTACGAGATTGCAACAATGACATAAATTGTAGTACACAACGCCCTCTACAGTTATGGTCGAAAAAAAAGTTTCTAAAATGCATACAAAACAAGAAAAATGCGTTTCAAAAAATTTTTGAAGGTTTCTTTGAGTTTTTCAAAAAACGCCTACGAGTTGAACATGCCCATCGCCAAGGTGGCTTACTGACGTCATTTGGCAACAGAAAAAACAAGACTTACCCTTTAGGTTTTTTTTTCACTGAAACGATATTTTTTCGACAGATTGACTGTACTATTATGCCTTTTGTTTTAGTAACTTTGTAAATGCATTGGTGGGTCAATGTCAAAATAAATCGTTATGGATTTGAAGTATTCATAATATGGCGCCAAAAAATTAGCGACATTGGGCATTATCGGCCACGACGTATCCAATGACTAACACTAAAATACGTTGTGATTGGTCGTTGCGCGATCGTATGTCTGGCCGTTTGTCACTTTGCACGCATTGTTTGTTTACATTTCGGTGTTTTTGTTTTACCTTCGGTCTGTTGGTGTTTTGTGAAGTGAGAGATACTGAGAAACCTATATCTACTGCAAAGTACAATGATCTGATGACTCTTTTGAAATGGGTTCCTATGGAGTTTCATGTCTACTATAGAAATCTTACTCATAACGGAAATATTCCTGACTTTCCAGCAAGTGAGTAATTAATATACACTCGGCGTCAAAAAAAATGCACCTCTTA